ATCTTCATTCAACCAGTAATTCTATTAGGTTTTCATCATTTTAATAAAAATAAATAAATTTCCAAAATTATCCATACAATTCTCAGTAATTAGTGGAAGTTCTCTATCGTCATTATAGTGGGGCTGAAAAAAATAGATTGATTATGGATAACTGTTAATTGAAATAATTGACAGCTAAAATAGCAATTAAATCATTGTTAGCTGGAATATATGGACTCTAAAACAGGATATTTACTGAAATAACAACCCACTTAGAGCAGTTATTAAGCCAAAACTTTTAGATTTTTGCGCAAAATAAAAATTATTTAGATAAAACCAGCAGAAATTCTGATTCTAGTTTGAGTCATGAGTGTCAAATTATACACCCTTCAGCTCCGCAAAAGGGTTATAACTGGATACGTTTAAGTTGCAGGGTCCATACATTCTATATATATGTGCAACATTTCATTGAGTTGCAACAAAACAACTGTTTAACTTGTGTTAATTTTAAACGGGCGTTCTCTGGTGTCCAAATATGGGCTATACAGGACTGGATATAAGCTAAGGATGCGTTAGGTGATGCTTTTTGAGTTTATCCATGCCTGCAAGCTCAGTGGATACTGCTCAGGTTGGACCGGTCATCATCAGTGAATGAAAGACATGTCGGGGATTTTGACTAAGCCCCTTTACACCTAATGAGGGCTAATAGTAAATTGGAAATGGTCTCTGATGTGACATGACCAGAATGACCCTGAGTGGGCTCACTTGTCAGGGCCAGCTTAGGGTTCTGCTCTTTATTTCCACTTCTTGGTCCCAACAGCCTCTTTGAGAACTGTCTGTGTCCTGCATCGTTGTTTTTCTGTCTTCCCCATTGATATCTTAAGGCTCCCCAGCTCTCGAAAGAGTGTGGATACAGATTTAAAGCACAAGTAATGGCTTTTACTGGCATTATGTGAGAAGACCTGATTAACCTATTTTCCACAATCTTGACAGAAGACATTTAAATTGTTTTTATCCTTCTTCCTGTTTCCTTAAAACACCTACTTGAGCAGCTGTTGTGCAGACATGGATATCAGCAATTTAAAAATTGTATTGTTTCATTTTTTGTTTGATAATCCTAGCCTGTGGAAACTTGGCATCTGTTTCTCACCTGTGGAGATGAGCTGCTCGTCCCTGACAATAGAGAGGATGGCATTCCAGCTCTCACAATCATCGCTGAAATCTGGGATGCTTAACGGAAAGGTCGTGATAATCCCTTGTAATTGAGGCCTTTTGAAGTGATAAATCTGTGTTGAGGGATTTGTATTGTGTACCCTGACATCCACACCAAAAAGTTACATTCACATCACAACTGGAGTCTCTTACCCACAAATTATCTGTTGGAGCCATATATATTTTCAGCATTATTGTGTCTCTTACAGTTGAATGGGGCAGGTGATAGCCCTGTAGTATTTCCATCCAGACAACACACCCAAAGTCTTAGAAAAAAAGATGAAAGGTTTGAAAAAACAACCAGACATTAAAAATAAGCTGTCCTTCACAAATAAATAAATAAATAAGCAGCTGCCAGGTTTCAAAACTTCCAGTACCGACATAGAGCCCACTCAGCAAATCTTGCCTTATCCAATTTGATTGCACTTTTTCATCTCTTATAAAAATATTTACTTTCCTCGGGGGAAGGCTCAGCTTAATGAGTCATAGCTAATTTACTGATAGAATTACAGAGATGCATTCTTTCAAGGCTCTCACCTTTTCTACTGCTATTAGATACTGTAAATGTTGCACAACAGAATATCATGTTACACGTAGCCAATAGCCTCTGCTCTCAGAGGGATTTCGTCACCTCAATTAAAGACTTTTTGGACTCCTTTCCCAACCTAAAACATCCCCACTGCCATGAAAACAGAAACACTTGTCTTTTATTTGGGATTTTCCACCAGTGGGACAGCAATTTCCCATATAGTACATTTTCAGCTGCATTATTAAAAAAAGGAAATCAAAATGACAAATTTCATTGACTCTCCTGTGCTTTTCCATGACCTCTGACACCCATGCTGTATATTTTGATAGAACAATCACCTAGCATTTTTTGTCTCCTTCCATACAAATTGTGCTCTCCCTGGTATACTTTACCAACACCCACCTGGTGTACTCCATTGTTTCTGTGAACAAAATGCAGCCAAGCCATTATTTTTGGAAGTTTTTTGTTTTTTTTCTGTGCTTCAAAACTCAAACAATGATCACAGTTAAGTTTAAAAGGTTGCTGCCTCCAAAGTTGTTTGTAATTCTTGAAAATGTTATTTTAAATCACCTTAAAACCACAAATTTTGGTGGGGAAATGGAAGAACAAGATGTGGCGTTACCCTACATGAAGGGTTCCCAAATCATAACCTTAAAAAAAACTACCATCCTGAAACTTTAAAAGGCAACAAACCTCCAACAAACCTGAAAGAAATGACTGAATTGCTTTTGCTTCAGGTGCTTTATAACCCATTTACACTACCCTTGAAAAACCGATCCATGCCGAGACCGGTCCTAGCTCGGATCAGTTAGCCAAGTTCTTACGACCGTTTACACATCAAGCTATCTCGGTTCCTCGACTCCTCGCCTCCTAGTGACGATCTGCGGTATTACTGCCAGTATTGAAGGAGGAAATCAAGCAGTTGGTGGCGGTAATGCACCAAAAGTTGTTTCCCAACCGCCATAAAACACAAGAAGAAGAAGACGAAGAAGGAGGGAATCAAGCAAATCAAAATGGCGGCGCCCGTCACATTTAGAAAGTTATGCTTGATTATTATTGCTGTACGAGGGTCAGGCGAAGACGGCAACCTTTCATGGATGTTTATAGTTTTTTATAGTTTTTCTTCTTCTGTTTTGTCTTGGTTGGCAAGCAACTTCTGGAGGGGCATTACCGCCAACTACTGGAATAGAGTGTGAATCGGGATGTGCAGCCAGATGGAGATGACGCATTCTGCTCATGTACTCTTGTTATCAGAGAACTGAGCCAGGGAAAAACCGAGCCAAGCCCACCTCTGGAACTGGTCTGCAGTTAGCTCGGTTCGGTTGTGTCTAGCTCGGTTCGGTTCAGTTTGGTTTCCATTTACACACGATAAGTTATCTCAGTTACTGAGCTCGGACCGGTCTCGGCACGGTTTTTCAAGGGTACTGTAAATGGGGTAATGGTGAAGTGATGCACATCAAGGTTGGAGCAAAGTAGCTCTTTAAGTCTGCAGCTGGGCCTTCCTGCACCAAACTGACTCCTGACACAAAGTTAGCATCAGCAGAGCCATGGTTCTTTTTGATCTACATACAGAAAACAACCACATTGCTCAGTGTGAGCACCAAATCCATGCTGTAAAACAAGGTCGTGGCAGTATGATGTGAAGTGGATCCTTATTTAACAACAGCAACAAGGAATCCTGTATGAATGAAGGAAAGACAATCCTGAAACAGGCTGTTAGAGGTTTGAGAGCACCTGAGATTTAGTCCATCTATATTAACATGTTTGAAAATGTTCTAAACAATTTAGTTACTTTCAGCTTATTCAGAATAACCTTCTCCTTCCTCATTAAACAAAGAGACTTAAATTCAAATTATCTGAATGACCTGGCTTACCCGACTAGATTATAATATCTAAAAGGATTGCTTCCTCTTGCAGCATAAACTGTTAAATCTAATCTATAAAGTTTTTAGACCATGAATAAACTACCAAAAACATCCACAGATATTAGCTCAGTAAATTTATTGATAATAAAAATATCTGTTGCTTTTGCAGTAATAGACAAAGTTGGCAAAAATAAGTTTTCTTTGAAATATGACACAAATCCTTCCAAGCCACAGCATGTTCTCCCTCTGTGCAATAACTCAGTGTTCCTACATCCAGATGGTCTCTTCAGAGTTACAACTAGTTCACCTTTTTTATTTTGGCCATTGTGCACTTAGCAAAAACCTGCACTGCCAATTGAGAATAGCTCCAAGAATGTGCCATTTCAGAATGTGTTATCATAACTTTTGTTCAAACTGTGTTGGGGAGCGTCCAAGACGGAAGTTGGTAGTCAACCACTGTCCTCTGTCACATTTTCACACATGGTGAACTCGCAGGTCCTGGCACACATGGGCGGTGGCTGTGCTCAGTGACTCATGTGGCGCCCAGTGTCTGAAACTTTCGTCAAACGTCTGGCACATGGTGCCTGTGTGTCATTGCAGCCTCTGACGCTGGTGGCTCTGAATGACCAAGTGGATGCTGATTGGTTGTGTTGAAGATGAGGCACAGGTACGAGCCAATCATCTTGCCTTTAGAAGGAAGCAGCACACTGTGAGCAACTGCAATACCAAATGGCTCTAACTAACTTGTTAAGATCACCCTTTACAATGCCGTTAACTTGCGTCATTACCGGGTGATAATGTTCAAATATGCCAACTCGTTTGGAATAATTATCAGGAAGAAAGTTAAATATTCCTCCAAAAATAGTGTTCTCCACTTTAACCATTTCCTGACAAGTGCTGTGTTCGACAGCCTATGCAGTCTTTTTAGAATCTAATTATGACAGAACTTCATGAGCTCTTGGTGAAATGTGATTGTACTCACTTGCAGGAAGGATTAGGGATAATAGGATTTATTTGAAATTGCTTTGTGTTTAAAAGTTAAAATCTGGTTAAGTTCTGCTGTTGAGAATTTGAGACGTTTCTGTAGTTTCTGTTTAGTGCTCCTAGACTGAAAAAACTGACAAGACAAGGGATCTAGTTGAAAAAATAGTCCTTAAAGCTTTGAATGAAAGGTTTTTGAATAGAACAGAGTTAAATATTATTCTCTTGTGAATTGAAAAATGAACCTGAGTGAATTCTGTTAACAAAGGAGATTGGTGTAGAGAATCAAAGTAGCACTGTAAAAATAAATTCTTATAATAATGAGAACGAACGAGCATCACCCATATCTGGTCTGCCCTGTATTAAAAAAACAGGCATGAGTTATATTTGAAAACTTCTCTTTAAGTAAAAGATGTCATAAAAAAAAGACTTACAAAGAAGACAGTGAGAAAGCCCCGTCCTTGAGCACAGATGCCTTAAGGGGCCAGCCTGCTGCCGGTGCTGAGAGAACAAAACAAACTCCTCTCAAAGCAGGCCCTGATAAGAAGCACATCTTTAGGAGAGACAGGGTGTCCTGGCACAAAGGGTGCAAGTACTTCATCTTGATGGACGATCACCTGTTTTAGCGAACACAAAACAAAACATGATATTGAAAAGTCTGAGCTTCTTTCAAGATCCTGTCCCAGTACAGTTATGATATTAAAGCTACAGTGTGTAATAATTACAGGGAAATACAGTCAGAAATGTAATATATTATACATAACTATGTTATTTATCATCATCTACGAGCTCAGCCTCTTAACCTTAATATTTGCGTTGCCTTAGAATTCGTTATTTATAATTACATAGGAGCGGGTCTCGCAGCCATGGAGGCAAACATCTTTGCGCTACAGCAGCGCAGAGCCAACAAACTAGCGATTGCGAGATCGCCCATTACACTCGAAAGTAACTACGGCAAGTTGAGAGAGATGAACTGAGACGGTACTGAAATTTATACCCTACACAGACTAATGAAATACTATCTGTAAAATTATCCATGTAAACAAACCTCATCACTTGAGAAGGTAGGTGATGCGGACGTCGTGGAAGACATTTTGTCCCGTAACGCTCGCCGTACTGTTGGGAGGGAGAAGCGGTGGGGGGGAGATGTTGATGTTGCTGCGGTCTGCAGTCTGGATGTTAGATGTCGCTGAAAATTACACACTGTAGCTTTGAGACAAATTGGCCAATCTGAATGTTAACTGAAGAACAGGATATGATAGGTATGTTTAGACAAGCCTTTCTTTAGAGATTTTCAGCTGCATCTCTGCAGTCGGCGGTATAAAGTACCTCCAGGGACAACCCAAAGACGCTCTCTTCTAGAGCTACTCCTGCAGGGTTAATGCTAGCACAATTGCTCTTTGCTGATTCTCACTAATCAAAAAAAGTGTTGTTTTTTTGTTTTGTAAGAAAGTTTCTGCTCTGGTTGATGAATGGACACACTGTAACTTGTTTTCCCCATTGGGGACAATGAATTTACAGCATGAATAAGTATTCTAGAGGAAAATGTGAGGCTATCTGCAAAACAAATGTTTGCAGACCTCAGCGGACACGAGCCTACCTGTTGAACCTTAATTTGTACTAAAGCTTTGTATTGTTCTGCTTTTGAAGACCGAATTATTTTATGTGGAGTGACAATAATTCTCTTTAATACTATGACTCGGAAAGTTTGATGCCCGTCTAGGAGGGAAAACTTGAATCCTGTCACAAGTGCGTGGTGTTTCCGTACAGGATGATCTCAGATGTCACAGTGCGTGATGGGTGTTTTCCATCCTAATACTGTTTCCGTTTCCCTTTTTTTTTTTTGGTTTTTGGATAAAAGTCTGGTGATAATAACAAGCCCAGAGGGGGGCCTGATTGCTCAGCTCATCTAATCACTGATGCTCATGACAAAAGTGATGCTTTGCTTAACGCTGCACAGCGTGTCGGCATTGTGTTGGCTCGCCCTTTGGTTTTTCACATACCTCATCGCCGGAATAAACTGCAGTGGGTGCTTAATCACTGCAAGGGCGGTCTGTTAGATATGACCTGCCTTCATTTTTTCATCTAGATTTAATTATTGACAATCAGTAGCAGAGCGCTTTGAGTTCCTTAAATGGTTTTCCTTCAAAGGTAAATACCCAGCAAAAGTAAAACTGAGCCAGAATCATATTTCTTCTTTTCTCTGCAGAAAGATAATTAAGGAATATTCCACAGGGGGCTCTTTGCCAGTCGTGTAAAGATGAGGTCATTGTGCTTTATGAAAAGATTTTATTCCCTTAGGCTGGCAAAGATTGTGAATAATGGATACTGCAATGCAAGTGCAGCAAGCATTTTAAACCGACAAATCTTAAACTATAGAAATTTCCTAATAAAGGCTTTCTTCAGGATGCCAAATAAAGACAAATCTTCCCTAAAGTTTGAGGTCCAGCTGCAGCTATGAAATTGATACAGCATCTTCAAAGAGACCATGACATTGTCAGAATTAAAAAAGCTTCCTGGGTGGGAAGCGAAACGTCTTCTAATTTGGAAACAAAGTCCAGTAGATTGTTTTTTTTTTTTTTTCATTTTCTTTTTCTTTTTTGGCATGGACATAGTGTTTTCATTAATATAATCACTGGTAAGATTAGGAAATGAAGAATAAAGAAAAGCATTCATGTGGAGGTGGTTATCCATTAAAATGTGAAATAAACCTCGTATACTTCTTATTTACGGATGAGATCTACAATTAGAAGCGCATAATTTCCTACACTGTACATAAAGACATTTGTCTGACATACAATTAGATGGTGCTCTTTCTGGTTAGTTATGCTTAACCAAATTTATTTAGTTTCCTAAATGCCAAAACAATATAGATAATGTTTGGTTGATAGATTTGTTTTTAGCAATCATGAGATTGGGAGGTGTAAATATTTTTTGTAAGTGTGCTGTAGAATTGTCTTTTAAACTGCTGGATCTGGTGCAGGTGTGAATTAATTCACATGAACCCTGCACCAGATAAAAACACCTGACTATGACTCAGTTTTCTAGCGGGTCATAATCAGCTTCCAAACAGAATCTGGTGCAGGTTTCCTTCTGTTGTGAGGACAAACTGGCCTTAATCCAACCCAACTATTGAATTAAAACATCTTTTTTGAAGCAGGGCCTGCACATGTTGTACTGAACTCATACCTGATGTGCCATCTTTTGGCACACAGAGCAAATCCTCTCCTTTGGCTTGGAACATACATTAACCTACACTGGTCTAAAACTAGAAATAAAAGTTCAAATAAGCTGTTAATCAGTCTAATAAGAATTTTGCAGCTGTTATGATGGTGCCAACATGTTAAACAGAAATGCAGCAAGCAGAACTTTGATGATAGTTTTCCTTCTTTTCTGGATCTGAACTTTTTCCCATCCTAGCCATTCCTGTCCAGTGGTAGCAAAGATAGTGGCATGGCTTTGTTTGCAAGTTGCGAAAAGTATGTTTTGAAAGTGAACTGTACTAAAGGAAAACAAATAATGTCCAATTTTTGTCCAGCAAAAGGGCTTCCTGCTTTCTAAAGGACTGAGGTCAGATCCTAGTGATGGCCTCTTTAAATGGTTAATGGCCTGCACTTGTAGAGACCCTTTTTCAAGTTAGGAGACTTGAGCAAAGGGTTTTACACTATATTTAGGCACTCACCCATTCACACACACTGATGGTGGCAAGCTAGGTTGTTGCCACAGCTGCAATGCAGGTGAAGTGTCTTGCCCGAGGACACAAAGACCCAAAAGCCAGAGCCGGGGCTCGATCCGACAACCCTCCAGTTGCAGGGCAAACTCCTGCATCCAACAGGCCAACATGTCCTTAACCGATGTCTTAATTAACTTGGTCCTGTGGTTATGGTTCTTGTTTATTTAAAAGACAAATTTTTGCCCAAGATTTTACTTCTTTCTTGTTATTTGTGATATTGATTTAAATCTTTATGATTAACATGTGTTTTGTCACTAGTTCCTCCTGCAGCAAAACACTCACACATGTTCCTTTGGCCCACATACTTTCTGATTAGGACTGTCTTCTTAAGCTTTCCCCTTTTCCTTCAGATGTAATGACAGTCGTAATGGGAAAATCCTTTTTTTTATCCTTCTTTATTTTTGTCTTCAGCGAGTCACAGGAAGGCTCCAGAACCCATCTTTGCAGAAGAAATGAAAGAAAAGCATTCATGTGGAGGTGGTTATCCATTAAAATGTGAAACAAACCTCGCAGTAAGATGACAGGACCTCAAATAATATGCAGTAAAATAACCAATTAGACGTATACAGAGCCATAATTTTATCATTTATTTCCTAAATTGTTTAAAAGCTTTTTATTTTCTGTGTATGCAACCAATTCTCTTTAAATGTTCTAGAATTTATTACGGGTAGATCATTTTTTTATTCCTAACCTTCCTAAAACATGAAAGTTTAGGCAATGCAGGGTGTGTTATGATTGTAACTGTATGTGGATGCATGTTGCTGTGATTTAGATTATATTCCCCCCGTCTATGCTGGCTGTGTAGATGAGTGATGGAGGTGCTCCGCTGGAGGAAAGGAGATGAACAGCAAGAGAGTAGATGGGGATGTGGGGGGGCACCGCAGCTCACTGACCTTGACAATGGAGCCACAGCCTAGTGACTCTCACAGCTCCCACAACACCGTCTCCTTCTCTCTCCTCTTCTTCTCCCGCTCACTTGTTTTTTAGCCATCCTTTTTTTCCCCCCTTTTTTTTCTTCTTATCTTCTTTCCTATCTTTGCTGGCTCTGAGCACATCCACCCTGCCGGTGTCTACGGCAGACAAAATACACTGCTGCTACTTCTCTGCTGCAGCTCCCCCCCTCCTCTTACCTCATGTCTGCTCTCTTTCCAGACAAGCGGGTTTAAAAAGTCAACTGCGTATTGAACCGTCTAGACTGAAGCTGGTCAGCATACCAGCCCTCCCCATCCCCCTGCTCCCTCTTCAACCCCAGACTTGTGAGTTGCTGGCTGTAGATGAAAAATGGACCAGGAGCATATGCCCTTGCTGAGCTCAAGTGCTGAATGGCTCCATGACCGCATTCTGTGAGCAGACTGACCATAATATAATAACAAAACATGCAGGTCTATCACTTAGAATGTCGGCTCAAAATTAAAGCACTGCAGTTGATAAATTCAAAGAGTGAAATCTGTATATCAGGTTTCATCTGTTACACTCCTTAAGGTGTGTTTGGTGTCCTGGGTGTGTTAAAGTAGAGACATATACCTGAGTGAAATAATTAAATAATAAGCAGGAATTTGTAGAACAGAGAATGTAATTCATTCATTTGATTCAGGCGTGTGGAAGCAGGAATACATTTAAAAGGTGCCAAACATTAGACCTCAAAGTCTGGAATTGCAAAAAGAACAAAACGCTTTCATAATGTAGATTGAATACAAAATTGTAATAGTGAAATTGTAATTTTTTGGGGTGTGTTTCAATTTATTTCTCATAATTTTGAAGATTATAGGTTAAAGACAATAGAATAATTATCAAAATCCAGTTTCTCAAAGCATTAGAACATTTCATATAACTAGTGCAAATATATTTTTTAACACAGAAGTGTTGGATGTTGGTCATATTACAGCCTACACAAACCATGGGGAAGACTACTGTTCTGGTGGTGTCCTTCAGGGAGTTGTTAAAATTATCCAGCATAAGCCAAAAACTCTGATTCTAAAGAATAGTGTTATTTGATTATTGATTTATTTATCTTTTTTATGGGCAAACAGCAACTTTTTGTGTTCACAAGGAGAAATTGGCTTGTGCATGCTCTTGCACACGTTTAATAGGCGCTCCCTCTAAGGAGTGGTACAAGGTTGTGCATGTGCTTTTCAAAAATTTGCAAACATCCTCTACTCTAACTTTAAGAAGGTAAGAGGAACCGAGAAGAGACAAGGTGATTGCCTCACTGATGCAGTAATTTACACAAAGGGAGCTCCCTCTAGGTATTCAGTGTTTTCTGGGACCTAAGTAAGCAAGTCTGTAATCAATGTTTTCAGCTTGGTCTTGTAAACAATCTTTTTATGGCTGAAAAGAAAACAAGTACACCTTACCTCAACAATGGAAGCCTTTAAAACATATTACATGTATATTTAATAAGAAAATATGGAAAGTTGTTGAAAAGTCTTATTTAAGGATTCAGTAAAAAGGTATTTACAAATCAAAATGCTTATATGTTACACCACAATGCTTTAATACACACTGGTTAGCAGTCGTGTCAAGACACTAAATCTGCAAAGTTTTTTTCATCCGGCGAGGGTAGTTAGCTTAATTCTATGGTTAATGTAGTAAAAAACTGCAATGGCTTATGAAATGTGCATCCTTAAATTAACAAATATAAATCTTTGTCTGTAATGGATGAATTTCGTGGGGGTGAAAATATGTGCAGTTTTAGGGCTCATTGCAAACTAACTATGAATCCTGGACATGCAGAAAAAATGCATCACATTTGAGTATAATGGACTTAGATTAACTGAGATATTTAAAAACATTCTGGAAATTTGTTAATATTAAATTGATAAGTTTGATGAACCTCAATTCCAATTTACTTCTTGAAACAAATGGATGAATAAATTTGGGTTCATTTACAGGGTATTTGTCAAATGTCTACAGCCTGCAAGCCTAAACAAAATCACCCAGGGAGTTTTTCTCTCTTTATGAGGTGTTGGCTTCTTAAGTAAGGGCATTCCTTCCTCTAGATATGTAAAATAGCTCTTCACTGTTCTTGTTTTCCTTTGATCTTCGGTTTTATGAGTAATTTTTAACATCCTGTTTGCACTTTGGTAGCAGCACACCGATTCACTTTATGCAAGTTGCAATAAACGTGATGTCATATTTTTCAGGAAAATAGGTAATCAGGTTGGAGAATTTGCTGTAGAAATTGGAAAAGATAGAAGAAAGCTTCTAGTCTCCCACTTTCATGTTTCAGAAACTCCAGAACATCCTCTAAATGAAGCACCTTATCAGACGCAGACATGTTTGTATTCATTATGCTCAAGCTGCAGAATATCCGGTGCAGTTTGTGAGTGTGTTTTCTGTGGCCTGCTGTCAGTTGATTAGGTGAACTGTATTGCACCCTGAAGTGTGACATTCCATGTAAAGCAGCGCGTGATAAATTTTAAGAGGTGTCTCCAGCGAGCCTGTGGCCTCACCATATGCAGTTAGATGGCTCCATTCTCCCTGTTAAAGGCAGTGCTGACAGCTTGAATGTCCAAGAGGACACTTTAACAATTAAGCTGTATGGACAATGGACTGCCGTTCATTTTTGAATTGTTACTTCTCTTTGTAAAGTAGAATTATATCATATGGTAGGTTTTGTCTGACCCCGGTCATTTTTTTCCTAGCTCACATGGTGAAGTAAACCGGACAGCAGTTTCTCATTTATACATTTTGCAACAAAGGTCTTAGAAGCTAGCTTATCTAGTCCTTCCATCTCCTAATATGACCTAGACCTGAAATTATATTTAAACCATCCCTAATAAGTATTTTATTTATATGATCTAACCTTGTGTGTTAGTCTGGTGTGTCCTGTGTAGTTGTTTTTCTACCACTATCGAGCCTGGATCACTGTCGGAAAAATAACGAATTGCTACTACTTTCAGACAATTGGAAGTTTTCACATTTCATGACCTCACAATCGAATCCTGCAGCATATTTAACTTGTACTTATTTGATAATCAGAAACATAATAATCCATAATTCCATTGTCTTCGTTATGTAAAAATAACTACGAACATATGAACAAGGTAGGGAGGGAACTAATCAAGGAGTGGCCTGAGGTAACTGTGGTGGAGCTACAGAGGTCCACAGCTTAGGCGGGTGAAGCTGTTCTTCATAACGGTCCAATCAGGTTGGTTCTCACAATAGTCTGTTTCTGAAACACATTTGACAGATTCCTTCATCTGAAAGAAGAACTGAAGCCCATTAACATGAAAAAATAAAAAAAATTCAAATTTATGTAATTTCTTCAACTTGAAGCAGACCAGCAGGAATTATTGCATTTCTGAAGCTCAAACCTTATATATTGATTACTGGGAATTGACTAAGACAAATAGAAGACTTGAGTTGACATACATTCATTATATTTTTTTAGTTATTCATTTTAGCTATTGAAAAAAAAAATCTGCTTTATTGTAAAGTGAGAACATAAATTTCAAGCTGCTGTCAGCTAAAACAGCTAGCGCTAGTTTTGCACAAATGATTTAAGTAAAAGTCTGGATTAAATTGTAGAACTAATGCCTGCTGAATCCAGTAGAGTTTTAAAATAAATGTTGTATTATGCAGAGTACTATCCTGTTTAGAAAGTTCAGCCCTTGGTTTAAACACTACCTGAATGGACTGGCAAACTATAGGCTTTGGTCGCTACTGTAGCTTGCACTCTGCTGCTTTACATACCAGCTGCTCTAGTTTCTTGGCATGACAACTGTACTTATAAGGAAGCCTTCACTAATTAGAATAATAATTGGTGTACCTGTAGTTTCCATTTAAGTGTAGGGTGACAAAACCAGCTCTCATGTAGCTGGAGAGACCTTTGATCGCTGTGAATCTTCTTTAGTATCTGATGAAACAGACTAGGAAGCCATAGGACTGGTATGATGGAAAACTTATTTAAAACCACTGTGTGACAAAAAGTAATGCTGCACACCATACCCATGGAGATCCATGACAAAATGCTCAAATGTTTGAGGGTTTTTCAAGACCATTGCTACTGTAAAAACTACCTGAAGGCACAATATAGATGGTATATTTTTAGGGATTATTTGATGTTTCTAGATAGTCTCCCAAATTCTCCACCCACACACAGCTGAGAAAAAGAACACTGCGTCTTCAGATGTTTCAGCTTGTAAATATAGCCAATAAAAGGTCCTGTAGCATACACTTCCAAAGTGCCTATCAACTTCTGTTTTCATGTGTAGTCTGTGATTGATTACGAAGAAGAACTTCATGCCCTTAGAGTCATAAGAGATCTTACAGACTTGTACCAAGTGTTTGATCCATCCTGGCCGAGGAGGTAAGGTTTGGAAAATCCGTCAAGATGCATAATTACCCTCTTGAGAATGTGTGAGACCTTGGAAGCGCAATATGTTAAGTTACTTAGAAACTTCTGATTTCTTTGAAGGTTTATCTCTCTTACATCTTTGTCTATCCTGCCAGTGCACTCTTCCCGCCCACCTTGATCTGCACTTTTTCTTCTTTTCCCACCCATACAGCCTTTCTCGTCTTGTCATTCCTGGGCTGGTGGTCTGTCCCTGTGGGAGGTTAAGGGGCACTTTGGGTGAGAGGGCATTTGGCAGGTTGTACGGGCACTGTGCACGCCTTTTCCCATAGCCTGCATCAAATGCTGCTGAACCCTGACCCCAGTGGGTCTTCACTCTCAAAATCGATGTGGAACGCAATTCAGCCTGCCAGACCCTATTCAGGACAGGACTTTCCACTGGAGGAGAAAAGAATGCCCCCACCCCAATTGTGGATACTGGCCTTCCCTTTGTCTTCTGGTCAAGCAGGGTCGGACGACCGGCCGCCACTAGCTAGAACAAGACTTCCGAAAAGCCTATTCAGCATGTGATTTGACCCCCAGGATCCAGTGCTGACTCACATGGATCAAACGCTGGGAATCTCCGGGGGGTTCTCTTCCATTGAGGTTTTTCATCTATTGAAATGTACTCTTTTCACAACTCAGAATGACAGTTTTTTCCCTCTAAAGTTTGATGCC